GTGCGCGTCTCTCACGCGCGTGCCGTGACGCACAATGTCGTGGCGCGAGCCGTGTCGTCCGATTTTCACGTCTCCTCGCCGACGCCTAAATATACGCGCACGCTTGTTCATCCCCCTGATCCGCGAGAACGTAACGCCGATCAAAGTGCGGAGGTATGCGACATTGGCTCGTCTCCAGCCACGTCTTCCAGTGCTGTCAGTGTCAGCACTGTGACAGTTACTAGCTAGAATGCCACGTGACAGGATAAATACCGGGGATTAACGTGGAGGAGGGGAGGGGAGAACGGGCAGGAATGGGTTATTATTACACGAGTTCGAGTTGGAGTGAGAAAGGGATGAGATGGAAAAGAAGGAAAGGAAGGAAAAAATGGGATTTAATTTAAATTCGATTTTTGGAACGAGTACGATTCTTTTCTTTTTTTGATTTCAGGAAACGGAAGAAGAGTGCCGACATGTCGGCCTTGAACGCCGGGCCCTGTCGACCCGGGATTATACTCTGTCTGGCGGCCGTTCTACTGGCATCGCAGTCCGATTCTGGTAAGTTTTTCCAGCGAATCCGTTAACAAAGCTGCCACGTCCACAAAAGGTTCCACCAGTTCGTTCCACCTAGAGTTTTATCCTCGTCCTCCGCGTATACATACACATGCTCGACGTGTCGAAACGTAACTCATTTGACGGCGTACAAGTGTACGTGAGACGGCATGAAAAGGAAGTCCCGACGAGGAAGAACGACGCTGCCTTCTTTCTCTTCCCCTCCCTCTCTCTCTCTCTCTCTCTCTCTTCCTCTCCTTTCTAAAAAAATCCTCATCCTTCGAGCGTTTGAAAAAGAAGGATGTATAAATTGCTCGCGAGAGAGGTCAATGCTTTTAAGATTAAAAGTTTGCGTTTAAAAATCTCGTACGATAAATGTATATACATATATATATACGGTTTATAAATAGCGTATCGACACCTTCGTTCTATTACCACGTATTTGATACGTGATACGTATGTTGATAAGTGCGATGGTATTAGAACGAAGGTATCGATGATAATAGCAACGATTTAAAGGCAATGAAATATCGATCGATCCGTACGTATTATATAATCGAGAAATAAAAATTATAGATAGAAAAGAAAAATGCTATATCATCTTCGAAAAAACGAAGAAAAGAAAGTTCTGGAATGGAAGAATAGGAGCCTCGACGAATTCCCACGATCGAACCTCGCCTTCGTATAAATATATATACGAAAGAATTAATTCCTGGCCGATGATCTGGCCCCATCGAATCCCTCCTTAATCTTCTTTCTTTCTTTCTTTTTTTTCGAAACGTCTGCCGTGACTAAAGCCAGCCAACGGCCAACGTCTGAATGGCCAACCAAGCCAGGACGTCGAACCTATCCCCGTCCTTCCCTCGCATTCCCTCGCCGAGGAATAATCTTACCTCATAATGCTCACCTCTGGCATCGTCGAGCAGACGTCGAGAGGTGGCCAGGGTGCTTTCCCATGGACCTATGGGACGCGCGCGCACACCATATTCGTTCCTCGATCCAGGATCGTCTTCTCCATCGCGGGTGAGCCACCGTCGCTCTCTCTCTCTCTCTCTCTCTCTCATTCTCTTTGTCTCTCTCTGTCTGTTCGAGGCATCGCATAGATCTCTTCCGTTTACGTCGAGCCGGTTTCGCGTTACGTGTAGCACACGAGACCTATTCCCGTGCTCGGACGATCGATGGAACGTGGTCGATCGACAGATCCGATCGGGGACCGATTAGTCATCTCCGCTCCCCCGTGGCAACGTACAACGTTGGAAATCGCGTTCGAAAACACCTGGGGGGAGGCCACTTTCACCTGCAACGGGGTGATCACGCAACGAACAGCGAGGTCAAGTTCGTGGGAGATCGATCGTGCGTAGGATCGACGTAGATGGCTCTAGTTTTGGATTATCGACGGTTTCGGATGATGATCTTCTTCGCTTCGCTTGAAGGAGAAGGGGAGGTGGACAAGTACTAGGAAGGAAACTATTCGAGGGGGAGTTTGACGATTAATAAAACTGAGTTGAGCTTAACGTTGGATCCACGTTCCTTTTCCACGTCTCGGTTGAATGGGCTCGGATTAATGGATGCAATTTATTTCGCTTCATCGTCTCCCCGCGGTTGGTCGCAGTTGGAAATAAAGGCGAAAGCGCAGGCTTAAACCGCCGCCTCTAAGAATACGAATTCTTATTCCTTCGTTTCTCCCTTCTTTAACACCGACGATTTTAGTTCCGCAACTCAACCCTGACGAAACCCATCGAGACGAGAAATTAACATTTCCCGGGAATTTATTTCTCTTACTTCAATATACACCCATATCGAATTCGCTTAATAATTCGAAAGTTACATTACCTTTCCGTTTATTCATTTCGCTCTCCTTAATTTTAATATTATCCCCAAATTACCATTATTTATCTATCGATTTTTCGATCCGAAAAGAAGATCTTTAAATTAAAAAATATATATATATCTCAACTAAATTATCGAATCGAAAAAATCTTCCTCTACGTGAAGATTTCCATTGCGATTCATCGAAATCTGTTCTCGTTTTCGAGAAGAAAAAAAGAAAGAAAGAAAGAAAAATCGGCTTCCTGGATCTCAGTCATCCTCCCGTTCATGATCCATCAACGCCAGGGAGGGCAGAAATCGATCCTGTTTCCCGACGCGACCGACGCTCGGCCAACCATCGGGAATCATTCTCGGAACAGCGTGTTACCTCGAACGAAGCGACGTGCAAAAACGTTCGCATCGTCAATGAGAACTCATTAGAGATGCAACGTTTTTGCCTTGCCCCCGCCTTCTCCTCCACCCCGCCGACAATTGGCTGCTTCGACGAACACCAGGTGTGGACAAATGGTCGTGAAAGAACGATCGAGAATTCCGCGCGAGGTACGCGCGCCTCTTCCTTTTCCTCCTCCTTTTTTCAAGACTGGATCACTGGGTGATCCTGTCCCTCGCGCGCCTATCCTTCACGTTTTTTCCCCCTCCCTTCCTTCTTTCGAACGGAGAAGGCAGCCTCTCCATCGATCCCCGTCCGGTTTTCTTCTCCATATTTCTCTTTCTCTCCTCGTGGTGGAGAAAAAAAAGAAAAGAAAAAGAGAAAGGAAGGAAAGCTGCTTCCCAATTTCGTTAACTCTTTTAATAATAAACCGTTTCCAATTACAATTCGACGACAATTTCGGAATTATCCTCGGCATCCTCGAGAGGAAACGATCCGATCTTTGGTCGAAATCAAGTTGGAGAGATCGTTTTTCTTTTCCCGTGGAGGGAAGAAGAAGAATCACGCAGTTTCCAGCGTGATTTCGTCATCGATCGAGCGAGGGGGACGACGCGTCGAAGAAGGAAGAGAGAGAGGAAAAAGTGGAGAGAAAAGCGATATCCGCGATGTCGTAACCCGGAGAACGAGATTTCGAAACGGTCGTGGAAACGATTTAAGAAAGAGGAGGAGGAGGAGGAGGAGAAAAATGCGTGTCGAGTCGGTACACAGCTGCACGGATAGCGGTTCCCGTACTTGGCTGCATCCACGTGATGCTGTGAATTCTGGTCAAACCTGTAGAGGCCTCGAAGAGACGGGTCCACGGATGTCACTGACCGCGTACCTCACCGTTGCCCACTTACGGTCCATATCGTCGCACCTGACCCTCCATCCGTTCCATATTTATGCCTCGATGCCGGCCAAAGTGTCGTTATCTTCGAGTATCGCTCGACAACAGTTGGTTGGGGACAACAGTTTCTTGGATTCTCTCCCCTCTCGGAGAGAGAGAGGACGAGTGTTTCCTCCTCGATGGAAGAGAGAAAAAAAAAAAAAAAAGAAAGAAATACCATGGAGATATCACGTTCGATTTATTCTCGTTATTTATTTTCGTCCCCTCGATTGTTTCTTCGTTAGAGGCGTTAGATCGTTGAGCAGCTGTGGATAATATTATAATAAGTTGTTGGATCTTTTTTCGAAGAGAGGAAGGAAGCGATAATGTAAATTTGAAGAACGAGTTTGAAAGATGGATTAACTGTTGAAAAATGCGTAATACTGCAAGGTAAATATATTAAAAATAATTTTTAATCGCGTCGCATAGTTAATCGCGTAAATAAGATTTTTCTTCGACATTTTACTATCGAGTTCATGTGTACTCGACATCAATATGCTTGCGCAAACATCCCATAGCAATAACTCGCCTGTTAACGATAACAAAATCGATTTTATAATCTCACATCACGGATCCTGGGCACGGATATCTTTAATTAAAACCCGAGTAATTTCAATGCTGGCGCCCTTCGCGGTGTACATTTGCCAAGTAAATAACGCGTCGCTATCAAACACGCTCGAGCAAACATATTCAGTTTATTTGCCTTTCGAAGGGTCTCGCCACCTGTTTGACCACGCTCCCCACTCCTTGTTATCGCGGTAATTAATTGCCTCGTGGATCTTTCTACCATTTCGAATCCTCTGAAACTCGAAAAGTTCGTCTCCTATCCCTTTAAACGTGTTCCTTCTTCTTTTCCTTTTTCTCTCTCTCTCTCCATCATCAAAATGAAAATTTTATCGAATCGATCGTTCAACGTGTCAATCTTTTCTCCACGATTGGACGTGGAGAGGTTGGTTGCCAACTTGTTCGAGATGAAGGGGAATTCGGACGCGTCGCTTAAAATTCGGGACGCGTAAAGGAGCGGCAAAGTAAACGTAGCGGTGAACCGTTCATTTAACGAAAGTACACGCACGTGCAACGCTCGTACAAACATCTCCGCATAATTAGCCGGTTTCCCTGACGCCTTGTTTCCCTTGTGGCACCATCGGAAAGGGGATGCTTACGCAACTCCTTTCGTCGAAGATTCGTCGTCGCCCCCCTCCGAGGGAAAGAAGAAGTCGAGCGAGGAGGCATCGATTGAATTTCCGCGTCGATTTGCATATTTTCAATTCCTGTTTTTCTTGTCGCGCAACGTTGTTACATAGCTTGTAACAACATTGCTCGACGATTTTCTGCATCACGCCTACCTTCTGTATCAGCGTCAACGATCCGTTTATCTTTCTCTACTTTCTTATTTGCGAACCTCGCCTCCTTATCGCCCCGTCTCCGTTTACGATCATCGTCACGGGCGAGAAAACACATTTGGAGACGGAAATAGCTTCTAAATCGGGGAACAAGAACGAACGTGTGGAAGAACGACTCCTTTTTAACGACGGGAGGGAACGAAAGGGATTCGTTCGAAAAGCTAAAGTTCGTTTTATCCTTCTCGAGATATTCTTTCTTCTTTTAACCGATACTTTTAGCGGAAAAGATCGGTCGATGGAAGGATATAACATAAGGAACGTAAGGATGATCGAACGATCGTGCCGATCCCTCTTGGTCGTTGAACGATTTTGAAATTGCAGGTTTCTCTTTCTTCTGGAAAACTCGTTAATAAAAGAGCGAGAAATTCTTCTTCCTCGTTTTCTTATATAAAACTTATTATTATTACCTCTTAATGAGATAAAACTATCGTCACGATAAATCTCTGTTTCTGTCAGTAAACGAAACAATTCGTGAACG